TCTTATACAAAGTTATGAAAATTGCATGGCCTGTGGCGACTACTGTATATTGTGAGTAATCTTTAAAAGAGCCACCCAACGCGACTGTCCGCTAGCAATTCACCGCTCAGGTAGTTTTGTGAACCACTGTAGCATTATGCTCTAATAGCGCTGTGGGCGGAGGTAAGCTTCCCAAGTTAGGGTTCCGAAAATTGAGGCATAGTCCTAGCGAATATTGCTGGTGTCAACATATAGGGAGAAGAACGTACGAGGCCGGTGGGTCAGTGAAGTCCGGATCAGGCATACAATTTGGAGGATTTAAGTGCCAAATATTTCAGACTAGTAGATTAAACGTTCCAAGGAGTGAGTGTGAATCTGTATCGCTATTCACAGCGACCAACTTCTGTTGTAGTGCTATAAACGGTTATCACATCGCAATGATGTAAGTTTCAGGCTTATTCTGCGCTCGTCAGTGCATTTGAGGGGAGTGAAGGGGAGATCATACAATAGATGAACAGGAGAAACATCACGAATGCAGTTGACCTCAAGGCTGACTAACACTATCGACAAAGACGACGGACAAAGGACACTGGCTGATGACGGCTACTAAGTCGGAAATGGTCACTCGGGTCAGTTAAGCTGCCTGTAATACTACTCAGCGTGTGAATGCTGGCGGAGCTCGAGAATGAGTCACAAGACAGAACGGGACAAAAGAGACATGGATTACTTCCTAACATATCCCTGACCAAGAGATGGAAGAATAGGCTTTGACACAGGTTTCTTGACCTACGAGAAGATGGCTTATTAGAAGAAGCCGCTAAAGTCTGCTACTGACATCCAATACATATTCGCGAACAATGATTTGAATCTTTGTGAATGGAAACTACCATGTGGGCGGATATTTATCTTATCACGTTCTGCAAGGACTTACCAGCAGATGAAGTTTCAGATGAAAGTTGGCTGCCCACAGGGTTCTTCATAGAACATAGGTATCTGGCTGCAGATGAAGATTGCAGTCCCTGGAAAATATAAGGTTGTGCTTACAGCCAAAAGGATTTCACTGTGACGAAAAGCCCGTCTACTTGCATTAAGATAAGGAATATATGCAGAGGAAATCGGCTTATGTTTTTCAGGGAAAAACGGGTAAATATCGAATTCTAATTGATACTACGAACTTGGCTACTACCGTGAGGGTTATGTGTTAAGAGTAAGGCCATCGTTATGGTTAGGCTTAGTTAATGCGTTAGATTTTGGGATTGGGGTTACTATAAAGATTAACGTTAATTTTAAGGTTTAGAATAGCTTTACGGTAAAAGTAAGTTAGTAAGCTACCACATACCGTTTTTTTCGAATTGCATGCTGGAGTATTTAAACAACCTTTTATATGTTTGTTTTTTTCCCTATTTGTCCCTCTGCAGTCTCCTAATTGTTGCCATTGTTGCCCCCCCCCCATAAAATCCTAAATTATAATCATGCTGGTAGTACAAGAGCCATCACGTCTTGGTTTGGCAAGTGGTTACACGTATTTGATCCTTATGCCAAAACTGAGTTTAAATGCTTGCGTTTGGCGTCTGAGTTCTAGCCTAGAGGTCTCTCCGGCAGACACATAGGACAAAGCAAGCTGTTATCTAGGGGCTGCCGTCACAGGCAAGGAGGATGAGATATCCATACGTGGACTGGACTCGAGTATGCGACTCAGTAGTACACCATTTAACTCGCTGTTCGACGACCAACTTTACGTGGACCAACATGTCATTTCTCATGAATCAGGTCACGTAATAGTCGTTTACTTATAATAACAACATCATAAATGGTCATTTCAGTCGACCTGCTTTATGCAAATTACCTTTGTGAAGCACGATAAGCTTTAAAACTAGATTATGCTAGATCACTTGCTAAGATTGCTTCCTTATTAAGACTTAAAAATGCTTATGTGAGTAGAGGAACTACTGAACAATGGCCTTCATGTCTGTGGACTTACCTTAAATGTCCCAAAATATGCCACGTTGCCATTGTCGAGGACGAGAACCCGATCACAACTTGAAAGCCACTGGTAAGCGTTGGTCACGAATATACGCGTGCGGTCCCTTAGAATGCCTCGCGGCCCGATGACGCGCTCAAACAAACGCTGTCCAACGTGGACGTCCACGGCGGCCAGTGGGTCGTCAAGAAGGTAAATGTCGCGTTGCTGCAAATTCAAAAATAGTCCTTAGCATAGAGCCGCTGCCTATAAAACGTAGTAAGTCTACACATGCTTGCTACTACGAAATAAGTAAGTAGTTATGCAAAGTAAATAATTACGTGATTTGACCTATAAGCTATCGCTACCGAAACAATTTATTGATCCTAATGACATACAAGGGCTTTAAATGGAATGAGAAAATCAGTCGGAAAAATGACATCGGAAGTAGAACCAACCATAAGCCCTAACTGACACTTCAGCCTCACATGATGTGACCAAATGAGCTCGTCCCCGAAAAAAAGAAGGCGGACACCATTGACGGGTTATCGCAGCTAGGGGGAATGTGGATGTAGAAACTAACCAGTAGCATGGAGACGTAGATGACTGAGCACCCATTAACTCTGCAGAGACTCAAGCGGAATTCACAGGTGGTCGTAGACAGAGCCCGACCTGGTCGCGAATTTACCTTTTATGCAGTGGACTATGAGCTCACCTTTATCGGCTGTTGAGTAAATAAACGGCAGTTCATTAAAAGTCAGCTTCAGTGTACCTGGTAAACAGCTCTTGCAAGTGCCACGCGTTGCTTTTGACCACCAGACAGGGTGAGACCGCGTTCGCCCACTGCCGTTGCGTCTCCATCGGGTAGGTGTCGAATGTCCTCGTCCAGCTGACAGGCTTCAATCACTGTAGCATAGAGAGCGGGGTCGTAAGGCGTCCCAAAGATTATGTTCTCTCGCAGGCTCTGCTGTTGAATCCAAGCTGATTGCGATGTGTAGGCTAGAGTGGCCTGGCAAAAAGGGCAAAACTAACAATCACACAGTATCATTATTATTTTCTTGGCCGAGTTGGAACTCTATGAATTTCGCGATATCCTTCTGCTGTGGTTTCTGTCATGCCGAGGAGAATACTCTACACATAACTATTTCTGGCTTAACGTAAAATGCGTACATAAACAGCATACCGGGAAGTTATTCTTTTTAGCTTAGTATGGGTGATGCTAAGGATACACAGTTTGTAAGGTGATCGCGGAACCGGTTGCCAGAACAAGCAACAATGAAGTAGGAAGTCGGAGGCCAGCTTTTGTACTTCGGTTCCGCTTCCCCTTGCCGTTTCAAAAAAGGTAGCTCGATCTATCACAACCTTAATGAACATCTTCTAATTTAGATCAGTCAATAAATAAGTGTGAATCAGTGTATTTGGAGGAACTGACATAAACCTATGAGAACCCAACTTAAGTGGTGCAGGTCTGCATGAAATGCATTAAAGTTTCAACTAGTTTATAAGTAGTTTTGTATGTTAAAGTCAGAAGACTAAAGGTGGAAAAAAATTGATGAACCGGGTGAACCAGCTGCAGCTCCCAGGTGAGTTTTCGGGGCATCTATTGAGAGAAAGGACAGACTCACCCACTGCTGTGCAATACCAGATCTCCGATAGAGCTCTCCGAGGCAGGCAGAAAGGAGGGAGGACTTGCCGGCGCCCACGCTCCCTACGACCGCAACCAGCGATGCCCGCGGAACGGTGAAAGATAGTCTTTTGAGCAGGTGGTGTGAGGACGAGAAGGATTTTGGAAAAAAATATACAAGTATGATTGGTGAAAAGTAGTAACGTACACTTTCGCTGCTCTGTGAGCCAATGCGCCTTGACTAGCTCACTCGAATGTCTTTAAACGAAAGAACAGCATCCATGAGCAAAGAGAGAAATCACGCGGGTGTTAATTAAACTGCTCTTGACCGTTTTCGGCTAACTACACCGAAATCGAGGTGCGTATTTTCAAGACTGTCTAATTGCATGACTGAAGCAGAAAGGCAGCAAAGTGTCTCTTCGACTAAAATAGTTCAACTTTCAGACCTACAAATTGAGACAAAATACATTTGTCA